TTTGATTGGGTTCGGTTTGGGTTGACACTGTTTTTTCCCCAAGAAACTGAAAAGCCACTGGTGCATCAATTTGGATCTTAATTGGCCTGCTTGCTACTGGGCCCGTGACCAACCTTATATTTGAATATAAGAAAACTTGTGTATGATTAGGATTTAATTATTGGAAAACATGTATATATGTTTATGATTTGATGATTTTGGATACCTCATTCCTAAACTATAAACACTCTGTTAAGTGCCTTATGTAATACACACATTTGATCTGATCTTGATGAGTTACATTTTCTATTTCTGTTATGTCCTCTATCTCTTGAGTTTATATTTATTTTCATAACAATAAATAATTGTTAACGTTATTATACTTATATTTCCAAAAATAATAAATATTTACATATATATTTTTATCCCAAAAATTAAAATATATTTAAAATAACATAAATTTATCTAGAGCTACTCAAATTATTTACAGTAAAAATCATTATAATTTTTTGCTGAGAATATATATAGGGGTTTCAACTTCTCATTCAACAGAAGATCAAATTTTTTGCAGCAGACTCATGGGGAGCCATGCTTTCCTTTTTTTATTTTTTTTAATTAAATCATAAATTTTATTTCAAGATCTGTGTCTATAGCAGAAGAGATCCCATTTTTTACAGCTGCATAAGAAGTGATTTCCCCATGTGTATATATATATATATATATATATATATATATATATATATATATATATAATGTTAAATTTAGTAATATTTAGTGATATATATAATGTTAAATTTAGTAATATTTAGTGATAATCAATTCGATTTCTTTCCATTGTGGACAACTGGGGCCACTTACAACCACCAAAATTATTAGCAGTTGTCGTCTTGTCGACTTGTTGGGTATAACATTATCTTTTTTATATCTTCCTTTAACCCATCAATTGAAATAATAATAATAAAAAGATATTTTGATGCGTGAATGTTGAGTTTGTTATAAAAACCAATTCCTTTTGATTCATTGGTCATACAAGTTTTTATTTTTATTTTTTGCAAGAATTCCTTTTTTGCTTCTAGGCTTTTTCTAACTTTTATATTAGTTGTTTGGGGTAGATTATATTTATAAATTTTTTGTTTACAAACTATAATATTTTCTATGGGTAGTACATAGTTAAATTTCTAAAGAAAGACAAAAAAAAACAACTTTGATATTGTAACTATATACTAACCGTAGTACATAGTTGTAATTTTTTATTCGCACCAAACCTTAGATCCAATCACATGACAAATTATTTTGCATATATATATATAAGGGCATGATATTCTTACATCGGTGTAAGAATAAGAAATCTTACACCAAATCTTGATCATTAATTTGCTTTCATCTAACGGCTCATATATCGAATAAATGAAAACCGTTAAATATAAATAAGATCAATAACCAATATTAAGAGTGTAACTTATACCGATGTAAAATGATCCTGACCGATATATATATATATATATATATATATATATATATATATATATATATATATATATGTTATTCCACCTACCTTTTTTTGGCCTACCTTTGTCTACCACTCTCCAACACCATTATATTAAAATCTCAATAGGAGAAAGAAATGATAAAGGTAGTTGAGATTTTCATCTAATAGTGTTGGAGAAAGATAGATAAAGGAAAACAGAAAAAAGGTAGGTAGAATAACATAACACACACATATATATTATGAATTTTAATTATCAAATTAACAAATAACAATGGATTCATTAGTTACTACTAGCTGTTATGCTATGTTGCACTGACATTGACATGGGACACATGACACGACACGATATCTCGAAAGATTAGTTCTAAAAAATATTAGATTTCGACATGTTAGGATATATTTTAATATTAAATAATATTTTTAATTTATATAATGTATATTATATTTAATTTTCAATAATTTTTAAAAATAAAACTAAAATTATAATACCCTTCAATTTTGCAGAGAAACATAAGATGTAAATATTTATTATTATATTTTAAAATTGAAAATCTCTTATACACTCCAGTTAGGGCCGACAAAATAGGCTTGGCTCGGCGGGCTGACCCGTCATTTTTTGGCGAGGAGGAGCAGAGCAGGACGCGAGTGAGCTGACTCATTTTTTGATGGATTGATGATGGGGCGAGCCGCCCACTTTGCCATCTCTAACTCCAGTAAGATTTATTTGATATCCATTTTTAATTTTTATTATATTAATTTGGTTAAATATCAATTAATTTTTTTCATGATATATAATGAAATTTCAAATATTATATATTTCAGAACATGTCACAGTATCGAGGAGGGTCAAAGTATTAAGAAATATCGGTATTTCAGATTTGTTAGAGTGTCAGTGCAATATAGTTGTTATGTTATAAAAATAATTAATATTTATAATATTTTTGAAAGAAATTATACAAATACAAGTAACGTTTTTTTTTTTTTTGGAAACAAAATATAAGTAACTTGTATAACACTGTCTATGTTGGTTTTCTAGAGAAAAAGGAAAAACAAATCTTTTTCGTATCAAGTGAATAGAGGATATTCGAAATCACGTGGCCAATGCTGTCCACGCAATTTGCCTTTTCGTTTGTTTGTTTATTATTTCTGGTTTTCTTCACATCACGCGCCTTCCGTGGCAAACACCAAATGCGCCTTTCTGTCCTTTCTCCGCAAGCACTTTCATCTATGTTACATTTATATCCATATAGGATACTCCAATAAGTTAATTTTATAAAATATTAAACTTCGAGAAGTTAAAATATATTTTGATATTAAATAATATTTAAATTTATATATTATATATTATATTTAATATTTAATAATTTAAAAAAATAAAGCTAAATTTACAATACTCATCAATTTTGTAAAGAAACATAAAATATCCTAAATATTTATATTAAACTTAATAAAATGATAATCGTAATCCAACAAATCTAATAATTATAATTAAAAACGCAATATGTCATAACCTTTGAATCCTTTTTTAAGTCCCTGCAACTCGTGTAGGAGTGTCGAAGAGTATCGAATATGACACTTCAAATTTTTTAAAGTGTCGATGCATCATAGTAGTCCACAACAATATTTTTTTTAGTTCCCTCAAGATATCTTCTAGTCGATAGCCGAATACTAATCCTTTCAAGACGTAAAGATCATCGAAGTGAATTTTGCCTCTACCAACAAAATCTCTTCCATACACATAACTAGAGTTGAATCCCTATGACATATTTAAAAGACTTAGCCACTTACCAACTGTCCTGAACTTTGTTGGTAATTTCACAATCACATTTTTAAAAAGAAATAATTTGAACAAATCATTAATTGACTAATAACCAAAACAAAAAATCCAATTAATGAAGTAGCAGAGTAATGTACTTATATTTCCTTTAACTCACTCTTTGTTAAAGTACATGAAGAGGTTGTATGAGGATAAAAGCCTACTCTTTATGATGCAAGATGCTATCATTAATATGAACTGAATATCGTATGTTTCCCTGGGCCCAGATGTAATTATATCAAGTTTCGGATTACATTGCACATTTCAAACATGTCGCATTGTCATAAGGTTGGCCTTTTCATTTAAAATTAATTTCGAATCAGCAGGGGAATGGAAATTTTTTGTCTGATAATAGAAAGCAAAATGCCAGATAGCATTTGGCTATTGCCATTTATTTATGGGAAAAGTATTTGTTATTTTAAATGATATAAAATTATATTATTTTAAAAAAAATATATAAAATAAATTTTTTATTTAAAATTTAATGTAAAAAAAAGTCATCCACTTTCTCTCTCATAAATTTTATTTTTTGTATTTATCTCTCTCTTATAATGACATAAGTTATGTCATTTAAAATGACAAACACCAAAATTGTTATTTATTTTAACGAATAAACGAAATCTCTGGGCCCATCTTTGCACCACCTATCCAACTTTAATAATTTTCGAAAAGATAATGCTATATATATCTATATATATGTGTATTTGAAATTTTATATGTATTTTAATGTATATTATTAGATTTTTATTTAAAATATGTAGAATGACTCATTAGATATTTTATACAAAAATTCACCCATCATTTAGTAACTTCACATTTAAATTTACTTTTATTTTCTTAAATATTGTTCAAACTATAATATTAGTTTGAAAATTACTTAGGATGCAATTGGCATGCTTCATGAATAAATATTAGTAACAGTTATAACATTGTGGCATACTGCACATATGATGAGGTCAAAAAAAAAATGAAAAAGAAATTATTGGTAAGATAATAAATAACTATTGGAACAGCAAGTTAACAAAATTTTTCTATCTCATTTACGAAACATGTGAAAAATTTTGTAGGTGAAAATCGTATTTTTCCTCATAATCATATTCAATGAGGTACATACTTAAAATGACAAATTCTGATTGGTATAGTATATTCTTCTTCTTGTGAAAATTCTCTCTGATTGGTGCTTTGAACAAGTTTCCTTCCTAGTTAGTGTGATAAGTATTAAGAATACTAATGTTACCTTCATATCATGATAAGAATCCTCTTATATAATGAACTTGGATAAAGTGATAAACCACTTCTCTCGTTTTCTCCATTAATTAACGAGATTAATGTTTATTAATAGGAGATAATTTTATCTCCTATACATAGGTAAAAATATATGCGAGATTCATATAAAATTATGTAAAGAGAAGAGAGAAAAAAAAAATATAAGTATCACGTACTTTTTTTTTTTTTTTTTGATAACAAGTATCACATACTTTTATGTATGTGATGTGTATGTTTGAAATAAAATTATTTTACACGAAATGAGAAATATTAATCTCTTAATTATATATTATAATTCATGAGAAAGAAAGAAACAAAACTTCCAATTTTAATTTTGTTGTGTTCCCGGTTGATTTTTGTCATAATCACACTTCGCTCATTATCCACCACCAGTTTAAAGGTCGCCAACTAGCTTAATGTTGCGAGGACTCGAGATATATACATCTTGTCAAAACGTGGCATTATGCTGAATCATATCTGCTATAATTTGTTCATACCCCGTTGGAATATCAAACTTCTCAAGTCATTCATTGGAAGGAAATCTATATTACACTCAAAAAACGATGAATCCTATGCCCATTACCATGATGTTTCTTTAGTCATATATAGTTCGATACCTGCTAAGGTAGCCTAGATATTAGTGAAGATTCTAGTATATGCATATAAATATATGTATATTCACCCCTTAAGGTAGAATATTTACATTTGGATTCTGATTCCATTGGTCTGTAAAGTTGTGGCTACCAGTGTCTGTGTGTGTGTGTGTGATAGGTGAGATTTGGGTTTTGACCTCTGATTTAGATGGAGCTGAAATTCTTCTCTTCCAATTCTGTGTCCACATCTGAGGTTGCCCATGTTGGAAGATCCTACTCCACTTTGCTCAACAGTTTCAGGCACAAAGTTGGAGTTAGATTTTCCACCCAGTTCAAGTGCCGCAGAGGTAACAATTACCCAAATAAATTCTCAGAGGTTTTTTTCCCCCTGTATATATGCATGAGACAGAACCTGCTTGTTTGTTTGAGCTATTCTTGTCTGGTAAACTGAATACCTGAATTAGCTTTAGCTGATGAGTTAGAAGCCATGGTTGGTTTCGGAACATGGGTTTAATTCTCTCTCATTTTCAATTTCAGGGTTGTTTCTCAGGACTTATGGTGCCTCTGATAACACTTATTTGGCAGATAATGCTTTCATTAGTTCAGTTGGTTCAGATAATCTTGCAGCAGAAACGAGTTCCCATCATATTAATGGAATAAATGGCTCAACTTCGAGCTTCTATTCCAGAAATCTTAGAGTACTTGATGCTTTTGATGATGAGTATGGGGGAGTTGTCATTGATCCAGATAGGTTACCACCCAATCCATCTGTTTTTGCACCTGTACTGCGTTTATCTCTTTCTCATTGGAAAAAGATGGTAAATCTTCTGTCCATGTTCTGATTCTCACTTTATATGCACTATGCTCAATTAGAAACTAATTACTATGTTTAAATGATTAATTATGATGTTTATTCTCACTTTATAACATTATCCGTAAGGCAAGCATGTCTATTATCTTGTAGGGAATGAGGGCTTCTATGATATATCCTGTTTGAGAAATCAAAAGACACGAGTATTTTCCATTTGATTTTACCATGTCTGATGATTTGCAGGGAAAGAAGGGAATTTGGCTTAAGTTGCCATTAGAGCAATCTGACCTTGTTCCAATTGCTGTGAAGGTAATTTAACTTCTCACATATCTACCAATGAAGAAATAAAGAAAATATTGTTGGAAATCGACACACACAAATCGAAAAAAAGAGAAAGGGAAGAGAGAAATCGACTCAGTGATTTACTCTGCTTTAATGTCCAGCTTGTTTGTACTATATTCACCTCACCAACACTCGTTACAAGTCACTCGGTTTACAAGGGTCCTCATCAGTATGCGAAGTATGAGTCATACCCAACAAATATTATATACATATGAGAGATCTCAGTATGTGTCATGTTCACTATGTACAAGTTCACAAAATAACTCAACAAACACACAACACACTAAAAGACCAGTAAATTCGTCCACTTATCTAACTTTATTCAGTTGACCTTTGTTTTTACTCATTGAAGAGTTGTTGAACCTTTGAGGTAACTCATTTTGGTATCAGGAAGGCTTTCAATACCACCATGCAGAGCCAGGATATGTGATGTTAACTTACTGGATTCCTGAAGGACTTTGCATGCTTCCAGCGAATGCATCACACCAAGTAGGAGTTGGGGGATTTGTCATCAATGACAACAATGAAGTATGATTGCTTCTATAACTAATACTAGAAAGAAGCATACTCATGCATATTGAATAACAAAGAAAGCAGGATATTCTGCACTTTGAAAAAGCTTTGCAAGGCACATTTTCAAGCTACTAAACGTTCTTCATTTCTTTTATATGATTGCAAAACAGTTCTTATCTAATTTGATTCATGCAAGCACTAACGTTGGTATAATTTCCTTTTATATATTTGTAAAGGTGCTTGTAGTGCAAGAGAAACACTGTTCTCCTGCAACTCTTGGTCTTTGGAAGATACCAACTGGATTCATTCTTGAGGTATTTAATTTAGTAGTTTCACCTAATTTTCTTAAATGCTCTACAAATGAAATAAAGGGCAAAAAGACAAATACCAGAATACAAGGCTCCCTGACATGCGAGGACAGGGGTAAAAATCGACTGCACGCAATCTTACCCCTCGCATTTTTGCCAAGAGGCAGTTTTCTAAACCGTGACTTTCCGATCACAAGGAGCAACCTTATCGCTGCTCCAAGGCTTACCCTCTGCTCTACAAACAAAATAGAAAACCAAATTAGAGATGGTGTTAAGTTGTAGTTTCATTTATCTAACTATGTTGCAACTTTAATTCTTTATCATTTGTCTGAATAATCTCAGGCAGAGGAGATATATACAGGAGCTGTAAGAGAAGTGAAGGAAGAAACGGGGGTAAGTTTGATGTACTTTTGAGATATTCGTCTGGTGTCAATTTATATTGAATATATTCACTAGGTTGTCACATAGTTACAATTCTGTAAAGTTAGGGCTTTCTTTTGATGCTAGCTGCTTAACGTTGCAGATTGATACAGAGTTTATTGAAGTCATAGCATTCAGGTAACATCACATACTCACAACCACGTTATCAAGAAAGTTATAATGTTTTTCTAATAAAATAAATTTAAAAAGTAACTATTGACTCTGTGTATATATTAAATTCATTTCAAATAACTTGTCACAATCTAATTATGATGTGATCTAAATTGAAAGGAATTGGATTACCGGAAGGAAGGGTTTCTATTGTAATCAACTACTTAGTTAGAGTCTGGTATGGTCATAGAATGCTACATAATTTAGTTTTTAATTCCATTGCTGCATTATTTTTCTTGTATATTTTTTAACAAACAAGATCTGATGAATTTCATCATCAATTCTAGGCATGCACATAATGTGGCCTTTGAGAAGTCAGATTTGTTCTTCATCTGCATGCTAAGACCTCTGTCATCTAACATCATAGTTGATGATCTTGAAGTTGCAGCAGCAAAGGTTAGATACCCTTACTCATTAAGACAAATTAAAGGAAACTTTTCTTTAGATGAATGGTGACCTATTAAATAGAGTATGTTTGTTCAGGTTATTTTACTCAAACTCCCATACATAGTTATAATAATCCTTTTTCTTCCTCAGAAATTTGAATATATGTTCAAGTAACTCTGGTTTGGATACAAGGATAAATTACATATGCACTATTAAGAGTTTTGGTGCACATCATTACATGAATTGGAGGTGGTTATTGTTGGGTTTCCTCTTTCAATGCTAAGTCCAAGCTCATTGAGGGGTTTCCTAAAACCCTTAACCCTAGATCTCACATCCTCTACATATTCATTAGTTGTGGGTGGAGACTAGGTCAGAAGATTGAGAGAAAAATATTTGAGTGATTTGTGAGCAAAGCTTTAAGCTTTGTATTTGAGAGATCTCTATAGAGAGTTTGAGTGAAACATCTCTAAGGAAGTTTGATTATCACCATTGTTGGAGAGGTTGTGTTAACCACCACATTGGTTAATTTTGATTCTTTGCATCCATTATTTTCATAGGGGACGTTTGAACTGAACTAGGTCCTGTGGGGTTTTACTTCTTCATTGGATAAAGTTTTCCCACGTTAAAATCTGCTTGTGTTCTCTCTCTTCTCTTTGTGTTTTTCGTTTTTCCGCTGTGTTGCCCGACCTGGTGAAGTTCAGGTCGAGGTAATTGCCGAGATCCGAGATCTAAGATCTTGTTGATTGATTTCCGCGTAAAAGGCTGCTAGCCGTGCTTGAGGGAACCGAGTTCCCAACAATTATTTCCTTGGAGTTCCTTACGTTTAATGTTCTCCATTCACATGGAGTAATCACCAAATGAAGCATAAGTTCGTTTTTTTGTTCTCCTTTTCTTATTTGCTTTGTTTGGTAAAACAGTTTTTAGTTTCTAAAGATTGATTTATGGATTTCCAATAACTCTTGTGTGATGTGATGCAGTGGATGCCCCTGGTTGAGTTTGTTGAGCAACCAAAAATCCAAGAAGACTCAATGTTCAAGAAGGTAGTAGATATCTTTATTGCTCGTCTTGGGAAGCGTTATTGTGGCCTATCAACTCATCAAATAGTTTCCAAGTTTGATGGCAAGGTGTCTTCCCTATACTACAATTTCATCGACAATGAAAATATCAACTGCATTGGAAATTAAGACTCTGAAAACTCAAAAGCACCCTAAGAACTGGGCTAACCACTACACTACAGATATATATGTAACATTTTTAAGTGCAATTTTATTTCTAAATGTATATAATATCTATAATAACAACGTTCCTCTGGAACATGTGTGACCATCACACTTGTTTCCCATGTACTGATGATGACCTTGTAAATAGAACATCCACTATATTAATGAGTCTCCATCTTATAATTTATGGAACCAAATCGGCATTTATATCTGTTATCATTTATTCGAATAAATAATATTTTTCTAATTTTTTTTAAATTTGAACGTGAAGATTTCGCCATCATCATAAAAAATTTTAGTCTAGCCCAAAAAGAAAATAGTAATTACAAAGAACGAAACAAAGTAGTCGCTGTGCCAGAACGAGCCCACTTCAAGTTTAGTGCTGATATTTTGAAAGCAATACAAAGATCTTACCCATGAATATCTCTCTCGCTATTGGCATTTTTGCTAGCACATGACGGGAATTTGGGCACAAAACGCTAGTGAGATTTGTTTTCAATGGACTAAGCGCGAAATTAGTGAACTGAACATTGCATCTTGGTAAAAAAAAGTAGCACAGTTTTTATGAATTTATTTATTTATATAGTTTTAATTTTGTTCAATAAGAGAAGAGGTAGATCCTTTGACATCAGTATCAAATTTGAAATTTGACGCCTTATTTGAGAGCAGTTAGATAAAAAAAATTGACGACTCTGATTTGTAAGTATAACACACCATTGATCTTTTTTTATCTAATAACTATCAAATGAGGTGTTGACACTGATGTCAAAGGAGTCTTTTTATCCTCCTATTTATGTAGAACTCACTCTTAAAATATGAAGAGATGCTCTTGTAAGTTTTTCACGCCATCTTGTGGAATAATGTACTTAATTAATTAGCTTTGCCATTTGCATTCAACTTTCACAATCAATCAAATGATGATAGTTCAGTTAGCACAAGAGAACTGAGCGTGAAGGTAAGAACATGTATTCAATCCTCCCCAGTATCATTTTTAAGAGGGATTTAAAGTCTTAATTTTGAGACTCGCCTCAAATAAAACTAATCACAAAGCAATAAATCGATTGAAATATCTCAAAATAAAAGTAAAAATATACGAGTCCTATTTAATATGAGTTGAATCTTGACCTTTCACAGTGAATTTAAGATGAGTTGCGTCCTGTACCCTTCCACGGGTAGTAACATCATTGGTCTATTGTTGCATTTGTCACAAATTTGCTAGTAAATTCGGAGTCAAAATGGCGAAGAACTTGGAGTAGGTTGGCATCTTCTCACAACCATAGAAAGACAACGCCATGTGAGTTTTCAGAGCTCCATAGATAATTATTAAGTTTCAATAATTGCCAAACCAAAATCGGTGGTCCATTCAATCTTAACGGACATGGTTGTTTTTTGGTCTTGCATGGACATACTCATTATTTAAAATTTTCAACAAGCTGTAGCTTTATACATGCTTCATTCAAATTATATTATATAATTTTTTACTCGGGATGATAAACGAATCAGGGCATTTAACTCGACTCGTGAAGGCCTGAGCTTACATGCCTAATATTAGTTGTTGGAACCAGGCTTGGACTTGTATAAAAGCTCGTTTAATAAAAAGGCTTCAGACTCTAATTCAAAAGCTCGACCTTAGAGCCTCTTAGACTGGCCTAATATATTAATTTTTATTTTATATTTTTTATACTACTTGTAATAGCCATATTTCTCTCCTCAATCCATCTCACTCCATTTTATTAGTTAAATAGACTTTTTGAATGATTTTGTTTTATATTATGCTATTTGGATATACATTAACTTCATGAATATTTATGGAATTACTAGTGTTGTTGATTGTATATTCTGTTTGGATAAATTTGCTGTCTTATTTTTTTAATCAGGTTAAATCAGACTTTTATTTTTTATAAATAAGTCAGGCCACAGGTCGATAATTATATTCATAACAGGTAACAAGCTTTGTCAGGCTGACACATTTAAACACAAATTTAATATTTTAAGATCAAAACTCGGCTCGCCTGGTTCCGTTAACACCCTTAATAAGTACAGTCACTTGCTTAAATAGCATTTTAACTTTTGAAAATCACAATTAGTACAATGCTGACAAATAAGTTTCTAATAAAGAAGCACTAATGTCATACAAATAAATATGGTTTTTAAGCGAAATAATTTACCCTTATATATTACATTAGAATATATTTTTTAAGAGTGATTTCTTTTTTATTTTTTTTGGGTTACATTTTTTTAAGAATGATTTAAATAGGGACGAAGGATTTTAGATGCAAAAAGAAAGGGAGCAAGTAAATATTATCTAGTTTAAGAATTTTTCATAATGAAATTATTAATAAAATCATAGATTATTGTGAAGCATTCCAAACCAATCATTGCTCATCATTTTTATAAACACTACACTTCCCTTTTAATTCAAAAATATAAGCTTTATCTTTCATTTTTTCTTCTTCTCCAAAATCCTCCATCTGATCATAAAATAGTCTATTCTTCTTCACAGGAGACATATATCATTTTCAGCTTTCCTTTGATTTTTTTTAATTTAAATTTGTTAATTAATTATACATATCTTTCTTTTCATTTTAAATATTTTTACTTTTAGTTCATATTTTTAAATCTGATCTAATTTTAAAAATACTTGTATAACGTATAATGCATTGAATACATATTAGTAGTTTGAATAAAATTATTTTGTGAGGACATTTTGTGTCAATCTAGTTTTGTAGGTCTTCATTTTTCAAAAAAAGAAGAAGAAAAAACTAATTGCAATATATGTATAACTACCTAGCTTTTCACCAACAGAAAAAGTTAGCTAGTTAAAGCGATTGAATTACATTCAAAATTATACGTAATATTTGGTTAAAAATGAAAACTTATAAACTTTGGGTGGTCTAATTTTTATTTTATTTGTGTACACTTAAGGGGCAAGGCCCCAAACAAAGAACAACATAAAAAAGCAAATGCAGAACATAGAAGACTAGTCAGGAGCAGCAAGTCAGCTCTGATCAAAAGACGCTTCCCAATCAGCCTTGATCAACTTCAAAAGGTTCTGATCTGGTGATGATAAAGCATAGGTGCCTAAGGGGTAAGAGAGAGCCTCCTTAGCAATCCAATTAGCACATTTGTTATGGTCTCTCACAACATGCACAAATTGAATGTTCCAGGATCTGTCAACCATAGCTAAAATCCTAACCACTAATTGCAGTTTTCGAGCCTCGTTACCTCCTAAGGTAAGAAATCTAATAGCTTGAGATGAGTTACTCTCAACTATTAGATTTTTAAAACCAGAACTCCAAGCATACTCTAACCCATTGAGAATGGCCTATAGCTCAACATGGAGAGGGGAACAACACCTTAAAATCACCTAACTAGTCACCTTGGTTGTCACGGACAAGTCCACCACAGGCTGCTTTTTTAAGAGCCACAGCCCCATCAACATTCATTTTCAGCCAGTGAAGAGATGGCCGAACCCAAGAGGTAGCACTAGGATCCTTAATAGAAGGAGAAAGATTGAGCAGCGATTTTATAAGGAATTGCTTAATATCAGCTAAATATTTATGCACTTCAACAAAAGCATTTTCAGCTCTTTTAAAGTTTTCCTTATGAATCTCCTTATTTCGCCAAAACTAAAGAGACCAACAGCCAACAAAGAAAAAATCTCTCCAGTCATTTGTCCTGTCTGAACTAAGTTCTTCTTAAGCCAAGCAAATTGATCTTGTTCAAAGAATAAATCATGTGACAGCGAACCACAGGATGGATTATTCGAAAAAATAGCAGCTTTGGGACAATCCCTGAAGGCATGAAAAAGAGCTTCTATCTTGTCATTGTTGGCATGACATCTGTCAATTTTGAAGCCCCATAAAGCAGTCCTACTCTGGTAAGAAGTCTACCATGAGACATCTTCCAAACTTAAAACCTGAGTTTCTCAGGGCCCTTCCAACTCTATATCCTGTTCCACGAAAAATCTTCAAAAATAGTCTTAAAATTTATGATTCTTGAGTAATCCTGTTTTACAAGAGAAGAGGAAGGATTTATATTTTTCTAGAATAAATTGTCATCTCCTTTACAGGGGAGAGGATGAGGAATAGCTGAGATAAGACTAACAACTTCAAAGTCAAAAAAGTTAGCAAGAAGATTAGAATTCCACGATCTTGAATCTCTTTAACACAGTCAGCTACCAAGTCAATAAGTAGGATGGGATGAGGGTGCTTTTTAGCAACATCTAGCAACCTGGGTACCTCACCAATGCAATTTTCAAGCCAAAAATTGATCTTGCAACCATCACCAACTTGCCATACTAATCCCTTCAACATTTCTGGCCAGATTTTACAAAGATTTCTCCATAGTGTTGAATAATAGGATTTGCAAATATGAGGGTTGGTAAGATCGTTATATCTTCCATATTTAGCAGTCATAGTTTGCGACCACAGTTGATCGGGAGAATTTAGAATAGATCAAACCATCTTGTGGAGGAAAGCTTCGTTTTGCTTATTTAGCACCATTATACCGAGGCCACCAAGATTCTTAGGAGAGCAGATTTGGCCCCAAGAAATAAGGTGGGATTTTTTCTTCGCATTAGAGTCTCCCCAAATGAATCGCCTTTGAAGCTTTTCAATATCCTCACAAACACCAATAGGAATGATACCATTTTGCATATAAAACATTGGAATGGAGGAAATAATAGATTTAGCCAGAATAACCCTTCTAGCCATAGAGAGGTTTTGACTTGCCCAACCATTTAATCTTTTATGAACCTTATCCAAGATGTCCCCATAGAGTCTTCTGCTGACCTTGCCATGTTTCACTATTGCACCCAGATATCTACTAAGATTTTTAGTGGAAGGAAAACCACTAATATTCACAATTTTGCCATCCAAATCATCACCGACATTTCTTGAGAAGAAAATATTGGATTTTCCATTATCCACCCTTTGACTCAAGGAGGCCCCAAACAGATTTAAACAATCCATGACAGCAGAAATTTGGTCCTTTGAAGCTTCACCAAACAATATAATAAGCAAGTGAGATATTTTAGGACCACTTTTTTTAGCAGACATATAAGGGTACACTTCTTACTATGGACAACATCAACAATAATGTGAGAGAGTTTCTTCATACACAGTGGAGAACCCAGGAATTTAAATGAAGGAGGCAAAAATAAGAAGACCGTTAGTATAGACATAAAATACAAATAAAATTGCCAAGTCTAAAATCCTTCATTTATGTAACTTTTAGAATCACCATTTATGCCAAACATTCCCTGTATCGAGGCGTACATTCCCTATATTTATCCATATTACGTTAACAAAGGTTATTGTGATTTCTTTTGATTTTATAAATAAACATTAAATATTAGAATTCTTATATTTTAACATTTCATATTCAATTGTTCTCCTCACTGTATAGTGTTGTGTACTTTATTTTATTCTTTTAAAGTTTGGAAAACATTCATGTACATGCCTTGTTGCAGTGTCGTAGCAGCAGTGGCATCCTTTATTAGCATTCCTTGTTTTGTGCCTGTTTTTGTTGTTTCTTGGTAAACGTTGTAGTGCCTGCTTTGTTTAAGTGTTGCTGCAGAGATAGCATGCTTTTTTACCACTTCCTTGTTCTGATACCTATATGGTTACAATATTGCAGCAAGGGTAACACAAAGGGAAAATAGATAAAATTCATAAAACATATATAAATAATAAAATTTTAGGGGGGGTGGTCCACCCTAACCCCCTAATTCTGCATATGTCCATACACATGACATAGATGTAGGGTGAAATGGAATCACCTTTTCTAAGGCCTCTAAAGGGAGTTATGGATCTGGTTTTGCCACCATTCTAAAGAACATAAAGCAGAGAGGAGGAAATGCATTTCATGATGATATCAATCAAGGTTGTAGGAAAGTTTACCTCTTCAAGCACTAATTTGATAAATCCCCAGGAAAGACGGTCATAGGCCTTTTCAAGATGAATTTTTATGGCATAAAAACCCTTTTTTACCTCTCATACATCTCATAGAGTGAATCATCTCTTGAGCAATGATGATGTTATCCTGAATGTGTCTGTTGGGAATAAAACTCACTTAATTAGGGGAGATGAGCTTTTGCAAGATTGGTTTGGGCTTGTTGACAACAATTTTACTAATACCCTTATAAAGGACAGAGAAAAGAGCAATTAGTCTAAGCTGACTAACTTTCTCTGGTTTGGGGATTTTAGGAACAAGAACCAACAAGGTCTTATTAACCAGCTTTATGTCTTTCAGGTTATTCCAGTAGTGTAGAACCGTTCCATAGTTTGCCAACCTATAATCTCCTAATTCTTTCGAATAAAGAACGCAGGAAAGCCATTAGAGACAGGAACTTTCAAGGCACCCATCTTGAAGAACGTTTTATGAATATCTCTATGATTCTTGGTAGCTGATAAATAATCCAGATCTTGCTTATCCAGCTTCGGCCAAGAAGAGACATGCCAAGTTCTGAAGGGGATATCTTCAAGGAACAATTTGTTGTAAAAGGGAAGAATCAGATTAACAATGTTTTGTTTATCCCTCAACAGGTTACCAGCATCATCTTTAAGCTCCAAGATTTTGTTTTTGGATCTTTTGGAAATAATGGTTGTATGATAAAATTTGGTATTTCTGCCACCATCCGCTATCCAATTACACTTAGCTTTTTGGAACCATAAGCTTTCTTCTTCTTCTAAGACTTCATTGATCTCTTTTTGTAAGGCTTGATCTAGATACAATAACAGATCATCTGTTAAACCCCTCTTATTAACCTACAGGTCATGAAGATTTTTCATATGAGCTTCATTCTTGGTGTGGATATTGGCAAAGGCATTTTAATTCCAGAGCTTAAGAGGAGCAACGAGATTTAAGAGGGAATAACATAAGCAAGAGTGAGAATCACACAAGTTTTTGATAAAGGAGGGAAAGTTGATATGCTCCTGCCAAGCAACCAGAAATTTGAAAGGTCAGATTTGGGTTGTGGTCAGAATTGAGTCTAGGAAGAGTTCTAGCAGAGGTATCAGCAAAGGCAGTTCTCCACTCAGCATTAGCATAGACTCTATCAAGTCTCTTATAGACGCTATCAAGGTGAAGACACTTAGTACTCCTCCAAGTAAACTTTGAGCCAGTGCACCCAATGTCCATAATGTGACAGTCATTCAGAACTTCTATGAACTTGATACACCTAGATAGATTCATAAGAGCTCCACCTTTCATTTCATTAGCAGACTTTATTTCATTAAAATCCCCCATAACAGCTCAAGGGGCAGAAATATAACCACTTAATCTTTTGAGGTCCAGCCAAAGGATTGATCTTCTCTCAGATAAGCATAAACCACAGTCAAAAGAAAAGTGGATCTATTTTTAGGGGAGCACTCAACATTAATGAATTAACTAGGCTTTTCAATAAGTCTTACTGAGAAGTAGCCATCCTTTCAAAGGAACCAAATACCACCCGTAAAGCGTACGGCATCTTCCACCAGGTGATGATTAAAGCCCAGTTGTTTAATTTTTCTGAGGGCCTAAACCCCACTAATCCAAATCGTTCAAGAATAACAGCCAATCCAATCCTGTGGTTGTTGATGAAGTTTCTCAGGATATTATTAGAAGGCTTCTTAGCCGCTCCCCTCCAGTTCCACACAAGAAAATTCATTAAAAATGGGTTGAGTTCCCAAGATTAGTAAGAACTTAGGGACTTATAGTCTTTGCAGCATCCATCTGATCATTAGTCAACTGATCTAACTCCATACCATTAGGTGTGCTACTCAATAGCAGACCAAGAGTAACATCACTGGTAGGAGGGTCATCTTTATCAAGAGAATTAACTTTGTTCATCACAGAGACATTAAGGGAACACAAATGATTCTGCGGAGGAGAATCAAATATAAATATTTGATTTTGAGGAATATAGTTGACCTTTGAAAGAGAAGGACTGGTAGGAAGGGCCTGAACCACTTTATATTCAGACAACAAAGAAGTAGGCTTAGTCTCCCAAACACTGCCTTCAGGTCCTTTAGCAAGAGTTTACTCGGAAGAGATAAGAATGCTGGTAACCCCAAAACCAGATTTAGCTTTAGGTAAAAAGCTTTTCCCATAAGGTTTCTCTATAGCTTTAGCGTTGAACAACAAATTCTGCTTTTTACGAGTTTCAGAGAGGTTGGAGTTATTTGTTTTCCTTTGTAGCATATGTTAGACCCTTTATCTTAGAGGTAGGCTTCAGGTGATGACTGGCATTGCTACTTTTTTCCTTCTCCTTTTCAGATCTCGAAGGGATGGGATTTTTTCCATTAGAACGATCAGTACCAAAGGATCTTTTATTAGAAGGGTTACTATTCGGTTTACTGGGATGGGATTTTTCTTCCGTTGGACAATCATCCAAGGGCCTACAGCTTGGGTTTGAATAAAAGAAGGATGGGGATTCACATGCATGTCCCTCGTTTTAGGATTGACCGAAGAAGGTTGTTGTCTAATTAGGTTTGGGCAAGATTAATTATTATGCCCATACCTTCCATAATGAAGGCTAATGAGGTAAAGAACTTCATACTTTATCCTTCTTTTACCCTCTAAGAAGTACTCTCCTCTCAGAGGTTTTGAGAGGTCTAGGTCCATAAAAATCCTAGCAAATCTTCCTCTATCACTAATATTAGTAATCTTATCAACTTTGAGCACTTCACCTATAAGGTTACCTAGATAATTCAAGACAGGAACTTCAAAATACCTGGTAGCTGGATCCAAGCAGCAACTTTTTGAATGTTGGCACTCTTCGGGTCAAAGCAAGGCTCCCACTTTTGGACCACTAGTTAAGGACCTAGAATTATCCAAGGACCTCCCGTGATAGCCAAGTTCCGATCTTCAAGATTACAGAACTTAACAGAGAAGAAATTGTTCCCTAAGTCAGTTACCATGATAGCTCATGATTTCGCCCAGAAACCCTCAAGCTTTTTCTTCATGAATCATACTCCAATCTTCTTTCCCAGAAGCTGGACAATTAGAGCATTCACCCATGGTTTCCGCATCTGCATCTTGGCCTCCTTGGAGCAACTGATGTTGGTAGACCCATCTTCTTCAATAATGGTTTGAAAATCCCACTCTAACACCTCCCTTTCTATTGGGTCAAGGGTTTCATCCCCCTCTTGTTCAATACCTGACTCCCTCCCAGTTGAGATGCTCCCCAGGAATACCATCTTTCGTACCCATGGCTCGTGCTTAAGTCTTCAATTTCGAATCTTGATTCACTTCCAAGGAAGAACCCAAATTTGCTCCACAATTAGCTGTGATTGACGAAAATTCCTCTCCATTCTTAGACCGTTTTCCACTTTTCCTAAACCCTATTGTCGCATCCTAGTGTTTAGAATTTGAATCTTCCATCTTTGTTACTATTACGAAGAAGCCCTAGCAGAGAAAGAAAAAGCACACGCGTGAACAGAACGGCTTGTCAAGGGCGCGTTTCCTTATTTTTACTCTTCTTCCTACCAAATATGGGTAAATAATTTTCCCCACCCCACTTTCCTGGGGAAAAAATTCCCCTCCTACCAAACACCCCCTAGAGGTAGGGGTGTAAATGAGCCTAGCGGCTTGTCAAGGGCCCAAGTCTTGGCTTGCTTTAAGCTTGATTAGGTCTAGCTTGTTTATTAAATAGAACGAGCTCAAGCTTTAAAAAAAACTTGTTTAGCAAACAAACTCAAGCCTAATTTAATATGGTTTGACTTGAAAGCCCGTGAGCTGCCCCGATATGTTATTATAATAAATAATATATTTTTATGTCACTAAATCATTAACCCTATTTTTGTAACCCTGTTTTTTTACTATTATCTTTAAATCCACAAGCAATTGACCAGACTCAGGTATTCTTTCTCTATTTTTCTTTGAAGATTATAATATAATAAGCTTTGGAGTTTGGACAGCTTAGGGTGTGCATGACAACCTTCCCGGAATCAATGTTTTTTAATTTCTGTTCCCGGGAACATAAAGGGATAAAATACTCGTTTGGTAAAATCGATTTATTTTTTTGTTCCCGGGATGAACCGAATTAATTTTTGTGCTGGGGAACAGAAAAAAGAATCAAATTTTTTTTGCTATTTTGTTCCCGGACAAAAAATGAGAAACACTTATTTTTCTCAATCACTCTCCACCACTATCATTGTTATCATCACCATCGTCATCCCGACACGACCACCGCCACCATCTTCGCCGTCGTCAATGTACCACCAATGTCGTCGTCGCCACCACCACCACGATGTCACCGCCACCATCACCACCACCACCACAACGATGTCATCGCCACCACCATCGACACCAACCACCTCCACCATCATCGCAGCTACTGCTGTCACCACCACCACCACCATCATCGCTATCACCACGCCATCGCTACCACCACTTCCACCACTTTCACCAACCACCACTACCATCATCGTAGCCACTGCCATCACCACCACCATTATGCCCTTACCATGTCATCGCCACCGTCACCAACCACCATCGCTACAGCCACTGCTGTCACCACCACCACCATCGCCATGCCACCACCACCATCGTCACAGCCACTGCCATCACCACCACCACTGTCGCCGCAACCACTGTCGTCACCACCTCTACCATCACCACGCCATCACCACTGGCGCCGCCGCCACCATCGCCACCATTATCACCACCGCCACTACCACTACCACACCATATGAAAAGGAAAGTGATGATCCAAAAAAAATTATGCGTATAGGAATTATTTTTTATTATATTATTTGTTGTGTTATCAAACACATTTTTCATTCTCAGAATAAAAATAGAGCATGTTATCAAACAAATTTTTTTCTCAGAAACTGTTCCAAGGCACAAAAATAGAAAAGAATTGTTTCTTTTCAGAAACAGTGCCAGGGAACAGAATGGTTGTTATGCACACCCTTATTTTATTAACAATGAAGTCGTCGCAAGTTTAAGAAGAAATTTTAAAGGTTAGTTTATATTACATACTTCTCTTAAAATATTCTTCCCCACATTCTCTATTTCATGAGCTGAATCAATGTTTAAGAAGAAATTGAGAAACCCATTATTCGATCTTTAAATATATGTGGACCGAATGGATTCTATGATTGTTTTTTCCAATGTTAATAAACCGGGTCGACCCGGGAATACAAAAAATTGATGCATTTATAGTCTCAACATTTTAATGTATGTGAATTTGGAAAGAATATATTTTATCATTATAAATAAGTCAAGCCAAACCTTTAATTTTTTATAAACAAGTCAAGTCAAACTTAGAATTTAGCTCGTACCAAGCTAATGAGCGTCAAGAACAAAATATTTTTCATCGACTTAACTCGTTTAAGCTAAAGTTCGGCTCGACTCAACTCATTTATACCCGAGGCTACTCAATTAAATATTAGGATTTTAACTACCCAAAAAATAATGGATTTGATTTCTGAAAATGTGGAGTCTATTAAGACTTCCGACACTGATTGATATTAAAAAAAATCCACTTTGATGGTTCTGTAATTAGAGTATTTACTGCTAAATAAATTAAGACGTTGTAATAATAAAACATTGAAAGTTAGGGAGAGGTTATAATTACTACCTATTTTTCTTACTATCAAATCTTAACCGTTGATTTCTGCCAATCTAACGGTTATAATTTATTAGAAATTAATAATTATAACCGTTAGATTGACGGAAGTCAACGGTTAAGATTTATGGGGTGTATTGGATTAGGATTTTAAAAGACTTTTTGAGATAAAAAAATCTTATAGATTTTAAAAGAGTATTTGAGAGACTTTAAAGACTTTTTAAAAAACTTTTTTTACAATTAAGATTTCATAAGATTGAATTTTAAAGAATTTTAATAGAATTTATAAGATTTGAAAGGACAATATGGATTTATAAGATTTTAAAAAATCATATGAATTTTTAACAAACATTCAAAATTACAAGAGTCAATAAAAGAAGTTAACAAAGAAATGCAATGATATTAAGTAAAACGTAATATAATTTTCTCAATTAGTAAAATTCATGATAAATTTTCGTTTGGAATTTTTTGCAATTGATCTTGTAAACTTTGGAGTTTTTGTTCTACATGATGAAGTTTTCTAACCATATATCATATGAATGTTTTCATTGAGTATTCCAAGAAAATTTCTCAAATTATTTTCAATCCATACATTAAAATATTAAATTACTTTGAGGGTTTTGAAAAATAAGTTTTTAGTCATCTATTGACCCAAAAATTGTTTGAAATCATTTCCTATAGCAAATGAATTTCGTTCATGAATGTATTATTATGAAACATAGTGTTCATATTATAAAAGTTTCAATCTTTCTTTAAATTGATCTTGTTTCATTGATGTAAAATAAAAATTGGTTTGGGAGGTTTTGGTTCCCATGTTATTTTTCCACTATTTTATGTTATTTTTTATACAAAAATCGCACATTTTCGTACTTAGAAAAATCATGACCAATAGCTTGAAAAATCGTTTCTAAACATTCAAAAATTCTCAAAAATTGCTTCAAAATCTACTGTTTTTGAGATGAATTAGATTAAAATCTTGTTGGGTTGTTGTTTTTGGGTTGTTTTGTGATGAAAATCGCTCAAAAATCTATTATTTTTTATCTTCGATGAAACCGCTATGGTGAAACTCGGTTTTGAGCGGGTTGATTCATCAAAGGAAGTAGAAGACGTTGCAATTGAGAAATCTCAAGAAATTCTAGGGATTACGTGAGATTGTGAAAGAGACATCATATTTATATTTCTCACTAAAAAGTCTCACAAAATTCACACTGATGAAAAATTTGTTTTTTCTTTGTTTAAAATACTGATTGAATATCACATGATTTTTTTTCAATTTTTTAAATTCCTAATTAAATACCAATGAATTTTTTATCAAAAAGTAATTGATTAAAATTCTTTGAAATCTTAATCTAATTCTTTGAAATCTCAATCTAATTCTTATTAGTAAGAGATACTAAGAAAAAGAGATAGTAAATATAATATCTCAAAAAGTTAAGCACCTGTTTAAAAAAAGAAGAAACTCTTAGGTGCCTTTTAAAGAACAATGGCGGCGAACGCCCCAAATCCATAACCAAAAGAGAGACCCTGATTTTAGGCATTATGAAATGCGAGTTACCTCACATTTGTTCACGAACCTGCGCCCCAAATTCTTGTTGAATTTTCAAGCCCTACCCCTCTCTCCTCTCCCTTCTTCTCCATATCGTAAGTTTCTCTTTCCTTTGCATAATGCTTCGTTCCACTTTACCATTTTTTGGGTTTTTTAGGGCTTCTCTCTGCGATCCACCTTTTATATTCATTGTAAACCCTCATTTATATTTGATTCATTACATTAAAGTCTTTGATATTCATTTCCACTAGAGAATTTAATCACAGGAACTTGAACCTGACGTGCATTTTGTTAGTAAACCCAACGATAAAGGCAACGATTTCAATCAAGCTTTTTTTTTTTCTTATTTTAAACCAACCCCAGATGAAAATTTTGGATTTTTTTTTCTCCCTTTCGTTTTATCCTATATGTTTGTAAATGGGGTTTTATAAATGATATTTTTTTTTTTGGACAATTTTATAGGCTTCTGTTGCGATACGAAGAAGATGGGGTTATGATCCTGGGAATGTAATTGGAGAATTGGGGAGAAGAAAGGGAGGAAATCATACACAATGCCGTTATTCCCCTTGTGCTCGAGCTCGGAAAAGGTGCAGGATGAGGAGAAAAAGAGTAGGACTATGGTGTATCTCAATGTGTATGATCTTACGCCTGTGAACAATTATCTTTACTTGTTTGGGGTTGGAATCTTTCATTCGGGTATAGAAGGTTTGTCTGCGTGGTCCTTGTACTTCTCTTATTTGTCGAGTTTTAATTTTGTGCTCGTTGTGATAAGAAAATTAAATTTTGAACTTATTGTTATGGAATTGCTAAATGACATTGTGGTGCAATATTTTATTATTGAAAATAAGAGGAAAAGGGAAACACTACAGTGGTTATTGAAGGCATCGTTGTTATAATCTATAATATGAATGAAGTTGCTGTGTGTATTGATCAGCCAAAAAGAAAGGCATGAGAATATATTATCAGGCAGTAGGTCATCCACTCATTTATTGTGGTTTCTTGTATTATTTCTTGATTGGGGTTTTGTAATGATATGCCTTTAGAGAATAATGCGTGATGGTGAAAATAGGAAATATTGCTTAAAATGTTTGGTATATGAGGTTTTTCCGCTTTGAATATTATTCGGTCTTTAGGCTAGTGGGAACTTAATGTTCACAATGACACTTTATATCAGACATGATTGAAGTACATTGTTAAACATGGAAATGCGTCAAGTTGGAATGGTAAACACATTGAGAAAATTGTTGGTACTTATGACTATAGACTTTTTAGTTATCTCGAACTTACTCATTTGGGAAATTACTTATTTTTTTTTACTTATGGTTATGTTGGAATTTAAGATATTATTTTCTATTATTTTAGAGTTATGGTTAATCATTTGGGCATTTAATATAATTTAATATACCTATGAGATCTAATGTTTGATATTTTGGATTACCTATACTATGCAGCAGTTTGTTTAGCTCCTCTTTATTCAACGACTAATTCAGTTATTCAATTATTTTACCTTTACCTTTGTATTCTCTCCTTGCTCTGCTCTGCATTTTCTGTCTTCTCTCTTTTTAGCCTTCTCTTTCTTTTCTCTTGATGTTATTGAAAAAATTCTTTTAGTACGCATTGCGATTTGTTAGTTTTTGGAATTGCTTACATTCTTGATGCAATGCTGGTTTTATGATTCATAGGGTAACTTAGCAGTTCCATTGAGCATTGATGTGTCATTTAGGTATATTGGCATGCTAAAAGCTTAACACACACACATATCATTACATGTTCTTGCTCTTCTAATAAAATTTATTGTCTTACACTCTAACCAAAAGAGCTATACGTTCTGTCATTGAAGAGTTGTGGTTTCTCCACTTCATGTTTAGTGCCATCTCTTTAGAGTTGAGGCTGAGATTAAGATTTTGAAGTGCAAGGATGCTTCATGGTTTCTTCATTTATTTGTCATCATCCTTCAAGTTTAGGCTGGAATACATCATGATTAAATAACATCATTACGTACTATAGCTGGATACAACAGCCTTTTAGATATATAAATGCTAAGGTTGTTTTAAGAAAGTTAATGAATAATTCACTATATATCTTCTTGTGGTTATTTTAATCTACTATCAATGTCATCCTTCATCTTTCCTCTCTGAACCTAACACGCTACTTTTGGGTCATTACCCTTGTGCTTTATCTTTCATATTTGATTCCTTCACTTTAAGCCTGTAATTATCAATCTGAATACGCTAACCTTCTTAGTTATATGGTAATCTTCTTTTCTATTGTCCATGATTGAGATTCTGGAGTTTACATCATTGCGCTTTGATCTTATGTGTTTTGTGTTGCTGCTGGTATGCATCTTGCATTATCAAGTCCTGAATGATTGACTTAATTTTGTTGGTTCTTAATAACAATAGCTCATACAAACTGGTTTTAGGGTTTTCATTTGATTTTGTATTTGCTATGCGTTGTTCTTTTCCTAATTACTTCTTAGTTGATTTGATATGTTCATTGTGTTCCTGTATTATACTGCCCTAGACCATTTACCTTTTCTTGTTGCTACCTTTTCCTAGTACTTGTTTTGTCATTCCAAAACATAATCAGTTTGTATATTTTTTTCCTAAACAGTACTTGCACCTAGTAAAACAAGCAATTTATCTTGGATTTACTGTTTGAGTTAGATGAAATTACTGCTTTTGATTTAACTTAATTATGCTCAAAATTTGGATATATTTGGATGGTGATTATTGGTATTGTTTATTTACTAAAGGGAAAGGTTGTAAAAGAGAATCCAGTATGTCCACATTGAGCTTCAGTAGTATCAATTAAAGGTATAATCAACAGATGCATCAAAAGATGAGGACTATCATAAATTATACTTAGTAGGTCAAACCTGGGTGCCCATTTAATACTTGTGTTCAAGGCAGAAATGGAATTCCACTTCATCTAATCTTATATGACCTTAACACTGACATTTGTTTCTGAAAGAAATCTAATTCATAGTTTAATGTAACAACTTTGGGTATTTCAAGTTTCTAGTTACAAATCTTGACCAAGTTGTTGATTTGAAAAGTAATTTAGAAAGAGAACTATATCAGGAGCTTGGATGTACTGCTTTGCTGTTTTAATACCCTCTTAAACCAACTTATAGCTTATTGTTTTCATGAATAGTGCATGGTATGGAATATGGCTTTGGAGCACATGATTACTCCACAAGTGGTGTATTTGAGGTGGAACCTAGAAGCTGTCCTGGCTTCATCTTCAGACGGTCACTGTTGTTAGGCAGCACCGATATGTCTTCTACAGAATTTCGTTCTTTCATGGAGCGCCTTTCTGCAAAATATCATGGAGACACTTACCATCTGATTGCTAAGAATTGCAACCATTTCACAGATGAAGTTTGCCAACAGCTAACTGGAAAGCCTATCCCTGCATGGGTAAATCGGCTGGCTCGTGTTGGTGAGGATTCTCTTTGCTTGCTTATGCTGATTGCAGCGAAGCTCTAATTTGTCTTTTTGTCTGTGTGTACTATAAATTTAACATGCATATTTAGTATCCTAAAGCTTCATATTACCGTGGAAATAGGTTATGTCGGAGTTTGATAGGACTAGCTAGTTATCCTTACTTGCTTACAATTGGTCATTGCATCTACTAGTATAGTTGTAATCTGATCACATGAAGTTTGAAGTTTCAGGTTCATTCTGCAATTGTCTTCTGCCAGAAAGCCTTCAGGTTGCTGCTGTTAGACATCTTCCTGAACGTGGTACATATTCTGGTAAGATATGAAGACAACCATATTAGCCAATTGTGTTACAAACTTGTGTACTTCAGATTTGATTTTATTGGCTGTCCAAGATAGAAATATCTATTATGGATGACACTTAGCATAAGACATACCTACTATGTTGTGTGTCATTGTAGATGATGAGGGATCAGAATCTGATGGCTTTTCTGGGTCAGTTGAGAGTGAAGAGGAGAATTCCAATCACCATTTGCTAACTACACCAAATGCTGATGTCTCCTTTATAAAAGAAAAACCAATGACTCTGGCGCGGGACACCCTATGATTTTCATTTGTTGCTCCGATTATTGATATTATTGTTATTATTCTTTGTTCATTCTCTTTGCTTGTACCCTATCCGTGATCTTAGCTTGAATATTGGAGAACCAAAAGGCATGTTTTGTATTACAAAGACGATAGATTCTTGTATATGTCTTTGTATTGTTTCAAGTACGAACTAAATTAATTGTTCAGGTATTACAGGTAATCTGAATGTGTGGATTGATATCATGCTTTAGCCAATCTTAACTTTTTTTATTTTTTTGGTAGTTGATGATATGACGGCTACTATTTAATGCTAAACCTGTTGAAGTACGCTCCCAAAATAACCTAATCGATGTAAAATTTTCCATGCCCCCTAACTCTTAAAAAAAAAAAACTCTAGTGGTTTTTACCAGAATCATTTATCCCTTTATTATTAGTAATTTTAATCACTTATTTTTCCCCATGATTTTTTCCATCTAAATTTGTCTCTAATACTATTAAAAGTGATTAAAAAAAGTACATGGCAATAAGTGTTTTAAGAAAAAAAACAAATAATTGAGCCCAATACAAAAATACTTATTAATATATTAATGTATTATTAATTATATATATATATATATATATATATATATATATATATATATATAGCTAAATATAAGTATAACAAATAAGGATTCAAAGACCAAAGATATCCAGATGCATTTCAACATTATCCAATAAAAAAAAATTAAAAAAAAAAAGTAGGCTCATTTCAGTATGGAGCAGCATGAAGTTTTTTTAGTTATGCAAAAAACATATAGATTATGAATTTATTAATTGTTTTTCTTTTTTATGAAAAAAATACACTTAATTAATTGATTTGTGAAGAAAATAAAAAGATAAAGATTATGGCAATACCAAGCCTAATGGATCAGTATGGATATTTTTTTAAAAAAAATTATGATTAATTTGGTAGTTGAAATTCATTCCAAAAATAAAATATGGAAACAAATCAAAATTTTCCTAATATTACAGAAGTAGTATCTAAAGTGTTTCTCGCATGTTTTTATACCGAGAAAATAAAAAGGGAAAAATTCAAAAACTCAATTGCCATTTCCTTTATGATTTTTTTTATCACTTACCCCTTTGTTTGTTTGTTTTATTCATTTTAATAACTTATTTTCATGTTTCTATTTTTAATCACTTACCTTTATATGGTTATTTTATTGCTCGGGACAAAATAAACATATTTGCTAAAATTTTAATAGTATTAAAGGTGGGCTTGAATGGGGAAAAAATAAATAAATAAATAAATAATTAAGAAAAAAAATAAGAGAGTGATACTTACAGAAATCACATCGAGATTTTTGAACTTTTTCCTTTTAAAATTATGCTGCATCAGTTGTCCATTGTTCTACGCGAATTGAATGTGTCGTGGATGCCCTCGACAGTTTTTTGTACCGGTAAATTTCGTAATTAAGAGGAGAATTTTGCATAAATATACACATTTTGTTCAAACACCATGAACCAACTTGTGTCTCAAACTGAGAACCATGGCATTACTCAACGGATCATTCATAATGGTGACCTCGATCATCCACTGTGATTGGGTGAACTGATGTTAAGATATATAATCCCACATTGATTGTGTGGGCAACTAATGTGGCCTTTATAAGGCCTTGGGCACTCTCACCTTTGAGTTAGCTTTTGGGGTGTTGTATCCCAAGGTTTTTTACATGGTATCAGAGCTTGAGTAACTATAAGGTCACAAGTGATTCTTGTGGGCCCCCACTTTCAAGTGGAATTAAAATAAAAAGCACAAAAAGGTAAACCAAAAATTGGGCTTGTGCGATTCCACGCTTCTAGCCCAAAGGGCTCTTGCGTGAGGGGGCGTGTTGAGATATATAGTCCCACATTGATTGTGTGGACAACTAATGTGGCCTTTATAAGGCCTTGGGCACTCCCACCCTTTGAGCTAGCTTTTGGAGTGTTGTATCCCAAGATTCTTTACAGATAGGCATCAAAGAATAGGAATCTGATTAAGAGAATTAATACCAAATATATTGATGGTAAGAATATTGGTTGGAGAAAATACATCATGCGCATTTCGATTGGGATTTACGTAAAGCGCAAACAATTATAGCCCGTCAATTTTTAGTTAAAACGATTGCGCTGAGCGTAGGCAGTTAATTTTATAAACTATCTTGGCATTGGAAGTGGTCAAACAAACATAAAGGCTACATGCGTATATAGATGACAGTATCCCTCGAACAATTCTCTCCCTTTTATGAGCAGATTGTAGAATGAGCTTGCAATGGAAATGTTATATCCAAATTTGAAACTGCCATGACAAACCTAGTAACCATTGGCACAATATAAAAAAGACGCATTGATTGATTGACCCGTATAATACTCATAACTTGTATTCGAATATATACAGAGAGGAAAACGAGTTATATATTCAGGCCCACCAAACATGAATTATTACATTTCAGAACATGGAAAACATGTCAAACTTTAAAGGCAACTTAGGCTGCTATTTCAGCACACGCGGATATCAACACTAATTCCTCCCAAGTGATTAGTCCTGATCGAGCAACTACTTTCCCTGTTCAGTTTCTCCGAAGAAATCTTCTGGTTAGTACCACATCGCAGCCAAAGGCATGATATTCTGGCCAATGCCGCCTGTCCAGCAACTCGCACCCGGTAAACAACACTTAAATCTGCCCATATTTCACTTGTCATGGTTTCTGATTGACTACTTGGGTCGTATCCTTCAAGATCTGACTCTGTTACCACAACTAAAGAACTGTCATCAAACAATATAAGATCTCGTGAAGCTGCTCCCACCTCATAAGCCTTTACCAATAGATTGGCCGCAGGAGCACATCCAACAGCCTTCCTCACCATAAGGTGGCAGTAGTATTCCTGAACAGCCTGAAATTTCAACAATTAAATGATTTGAAGCTTAACCATCACTATTAATCATTTTCCTTACACAAGTCAAGAAAATTTTTGGGCCCAAAATTGGATCGAGAAATAATAAAATGAATAGGCTTCAACTTTTAAATTAAAGCAACACCATTCTGAGGCTTAAATCATTAAATTCCATTTCATATTTTTCAGTGACCAACTAACCTAAAAAAACATGATAGGTGAATTGTAGCTGCAATGAGCGCACACAGACACAGAAAATAATGGTAATTACGATAGTGACTAAGAGACAAGCTTCACACTTACCTGCCACTGAGAGGAAGCTAGAAGCACCCTTGGCCGAATTGACTTCACATAATCATATGCAGCATCAGGTGTCATCAGTTTGTGGTGCACCTACACGGAAAGCTCAAAATGTAAAAACAATTAGAACCAATCACAATACCAAACTCTTCTTTGTATGTTTTGATCTTTTCTACTCTCTTCCAAGGGGTGGCACCAACCAGATAACAAATTACAATAGTTGTGCTGCGACCACGTCCAGCTTTGCAGTGCACATACGTAGTGCGTCCAGACAATGCATTTTCTTCATCAAAAGAACCCAATAGGGAAAAGAGTCAAAATAATTACAAATGAGTGTAATAACTAAATTATAATGAGGAACATAGTTGTCATAAGCCTACTTGTAGATGAGTTTTATAACTTTTTAAAACTTACTCATCATAGATTTTTTTCAATTCTTTTATATTTTTGTGGGGGTAGGAGAGGGGTGGAAGTACATCAATAAAAGAGAAGAGAAATACAATATGCAACATATAACACACTACTGAATAATTCATGATGCTCCCCTCTTGTTGCCACTCTACACAATATTTTACCAATAGTTTAAATATCAATAATAACTTTTGCCCCACAGGAAACAAACTGATATATGCCCCTAAAACAGTTGGATATCATTATAATCAACCAATTTGCATAATACTCACCATGTATGAAGTCCACAGCACGGCATATGTCATGCAATGATGGAGCAAAACAGTAATCTCTAGTAGGAAGCACCAGATGGTCAATTCCATGAGCCTGCCAAATTTTTTTAACAAAAAAATTAATTGGAAATTGAATATATAAAAAATGCATGAAATTCGAAGTCATGCAAACACCCAAGATGCTATAATAACCCACCACAATTACAACATGCCACAATGCCAATAAAACACATACTAATAAAGCACAAGTGCATACCAGGGGGGTGAGAGACTGGGAACACAATACTCATCTTTTGGAAATAAATTAATCCCACTCATAAAAATTTCAATTCTAATCATTTATAACAACCAGGGGCGTACACTTACATTGGATAACATACAAGTAAACATCAAAGAACAAAATGGAAGTAAATTTAATAATAACAATGTTTCCTTGATCTTCTGATTCATAAGCTGCTTCACAGTTTGTTAGCTTTAACCATTTACAAGCTGCTTCATCTAGTCACATTACATGCTTTATTTCACAGTCAAAATACTTTCCACAAGTTGCAGAGCTACAAAAGCAACTTAATCATCATCAAATTTCTATGACAAAAATCTAAGATGAACAGAAATTTGCCAGTCACCGCAAGCAAAGAAACTCTTTTCACACACAGAAGGGGCAAGAAACCTTATCAACTCTAACTCCCAATTTTTACAAGTTAAAAATTTATAATTCAACACTGGTATTTATACAACACGCTTGCAGTCAAAAAGATTCAGCTAGATAAGCTGGTGCTAAACAATAAAAAAAATAAACCCTCAGATAAAACGCCATAAGTAGCAAAAAATAAAATATGGAGAATACTCACATAATATAATGTGGTTGGAACCAAAGTCTCATATGACTCATTCAATGTGATGACCGCGCGAACACCAAGCTCCTTCAAGCGAGGAACATCAATAGGAAATGGAACAGCACCTAATAATATGAACTGAAATTTAAATGCATCAGATTTAGGAGAAGCCTAGTTTACCAAACAACATAAGACAATTTTCATATGCAACTAAGTTAAAAATGTCATCTCGGCTAGAAGAGAAAAGAGACACCGCTGAACACTAACAGAAAATATGTATCTGATACCTGCATAACAAAGATTACATGTACGATGAGTTAAGCAAAGTTTCTATATCAAACAAAATAATCCAATAAACCACAACAACCCCATTCCACAAATGACAATGCTACCAGAAACAAAAGACACCACACAAGGACATGGATGAGAAACGTATTATAGCAACAAATTGAAACATTCTTTCATAAATGAAAGAGGTCAAGTGTCCCTTGCTGATTAATAAAAAAAAATCAACCATTAGAAGATCAAGCAAACCGAAGTTACTAATAATAACAAAAATCAGAAGGTAAAAATAGCCGGCCAATTTTTTAATTAGAAAACAGAATCACTTTACATTGTAAGGTAGTGGACCAACTTCCTACAGCGCATATTTGAATTGCCTTTCCCATTTTAAACCAAAACAAATCACATTATACTTACAGTGTGTTTAGAATTTTGAAAATAAAAGAATTCGTTTCATTTACAAATGATTTATTGTATGAAATTTGTTTGGAATGATATTAATTTAAAAATTCAATTCATTTACAACAGTGTACCAAATATTTAGAAAAAGAAAAGATGCCCTTCGCTTAGGAAAGCATTAAATTAAATACATAAAACTGTAATTAGATGATTACCAAAAAAAAAAAACAGTAATAAGAAAAAATCGCAGAAGCTGAGATTAACAGCCACATCATACATAAATATTATGTTATATAAGCTTTTATCATTCATGATCTTCCTTCTTAATTCTCCAGTCCATAAGGTTGCATCATCACCTCAAAGCACCATCTTTTTAAATTGGATTCAGGCGGCCACAATTTTGATCAATACAGCCCAAAATGGAAGAAGGTTAAACCACAGCAGGCATATTCAATCGATGGTATACAACGTGAACAAAATTTGTAACCCGCAAGCATTCTTCTTTCTATATGTTGATAATCACAATCACAGACACTTGTTGAATTTGTGGCAGTGCATAAACAAGCCAACGTACCATAACTAAACTGAAGGTCAAAACAAACATCAAATAGAAATAAAACGATCATCGGCACCATCCAGCACTCACACAAGAGAATGCAATGTAATAAATAATGCTCTAGATTAAACATACAACAACAAATATCTTAACATCATTCAATATACGGCCAATCACAAGCTAAAGAAACCATACCTCGTCAACCTTATCCCACCATCGAAACTCAGCCTGAATCTTATTCCTAACGACATTGTAAAACAGGGTCGGATAGAAAAGCGCTCGAGCGCCTGCTCCAACAAGAACCCTTTTGGCATCGTAACCAACAAAGCTCGATCTTCCTTCCTCTCCACCTTCTCCCACCTCACCTCCCTTCAATTCCTCTATATGCATAACTCACTCCCAAATCACAAAACAATTACAGCAATATCCAGATATATACAAAAAACCTAATTAACAAATAGATATCTATGCACAGAGTATTCAACACGTATCAACTACACTTTTCACAAACCCTCACGTATCCTACCCACAGCTCTATTACAACAAGCACAAAAAATGTTCAGAACAAAAAAAAAATGAATTGCCCCAAATTGCAATTTGCGGATCACGGAATTGATCGAGGAAAACTAGGAAATCGGAATTGCGCAACAACTCGAACAAGGGATGATGAATAGGACAAGAACTCGGGCGATAAGACAGGAAGAGGTATTTTCCCGAGAAAATGAGACCATTTTTGAGAAAGGATTGATGGAGGCGAGGAAGATGGATGAGGGATTGTCGTGATCCGCGCGAGAGAGAGGGAAAATTTGTCGGAAGGGAAAGGAAAAGTAAAAGAGAAAAAGAATCGGACAAGAGAGGAAATTGGGAATTGGAATTCCAAACCCTAGATTTGGTTGAATCAGAAAATCGCCCTTTCGCTCAACAAACTCTGAATTGGAAAGTAAAGGATATTCGGCAATTGGATGAAGAGGAAAATGAAAATGGGGAGCGACAACGTTTCAATGACTCGATGGTGACAGAGGGAAGGTGAAAGTCGCGGAGAGAGTGACACGTTACCCATCACTTAAGGGTGCCGACAGGCCATGGGTTTCTACGCCCTCTTCACAACTATTACACTTTTATACTTTTTTCTTTTTTACGCATTATAATTAAATAATTTTTAAATGATAGTATATTCTTACTACTACTCTAATATAATCATGTACTCATCACTCGTGAGAACACATTAAAAGCTATTTTTTTCTCTTTTTTCATCAACTTTTAGAGATTATCTATTGAAAAGTGAGATCCTAATAGATTAAGGGTTTGGTGTTTGTCATTTTAAATGACATAAGTTATGTCATTTTAGGAGAAAAATAGACACAGAAAAATAAAAATCATGGGAGAGAGAAAGTGAGTGCTTTTTTAATTTAAAATTTAAATAAAAAAAAATTTGTGTGTGTCTCTCTCTTAGAATGACATAATCTTATGTCATTTAAAATGACAAACATTTTTCTCATAGATTAATAATAAAAACATGTGATAGTAAGAATTAGGGGTGTTCGCGGTCTGGATTGGATCGGTTTTGGAAACAAAAATCATCTGATCCAATCCCTTTAGTTTGATTATGTAATCATCAATTCAGTTTGGATTTTTTTTCAAATCCGATCCGATCCGATCCGATCCAATTTTTTTCGGTTTGGATTGGATTGGTTTTCGATTTTTTGAAAATCTTAAATTTTTTTGAAAATCTTTTGTATATATTGGCTTTGTAATTATTATTTTTTAAATACAAAAATATCAGTAACCGATAATATAATTATTATTTTTTTGACAATGAGATATGAAGCTCTACATAGATAAAATTATGTTAATGAGACGTGACTAGATTTTTTCTTGGGTTTAGTTGATGGGTTAATGAGTCTTGTGTAGAAATTTTTGGGTTATGATTGGGGAAAGACCCAAATAGGTAGAGAAAAATTAATATATTGGATCAGTTTGGATTGGATCGATTTTCATCTACCAATCCAACAACCGATCCAATCCAATTAAAATTTGCGGGGTTTTTTCGGTTTTCGATTTTTCGATTTTCGGTTTATTCGGTTTTTTGGTTCGGTTACCGCCGTTTGGATCTGTTGATGAACACCCCTAGTAAGAATATCTTACCTCTATTTTATTATTATTTTATATATATTATTTTAGGGGGAACTATTTCTACTGTTATAGCAGAAATAATTAGTCTACCACATACCAAAAAAAGGAATAGGCTCCATCAATTCTTTTCTCTCATTTCTTTATAGTGTCTCTTTCTCATTTTTGTCTCAACAATTTATTTCTGCCACCGTTGCACAAATAGTTTTTCCATTATTTTATGGGGTAGGCTCTTTTTACATTAATATAAGAATAAAAATGTTTATACTCAATATTGAGTGAACCCAATGAGTGCAGCTCAGTTGGTAACTTGGCGCTGAGTTAGTGGGGTTAGATATGTGTTCGATTCCCGCTGAATGCATTCTTGGGGAGGGGGCTGAACCTTTAGCCATCACTGTTCCCCCGCACTCCGGATTAGTCTCATAGCCGGCTCAAAGAGTCGAAGCTCGTGGGGATACCGGAGGGAGCCAACTCGTCTCAAAGAGATAATTAGGGTTGGGTAACTCCAAAAAAAAAAATATTGAGTGATTTATTTAAAGACTTAAATATCTGATAAAATCATAATATATAAATAGCATCAATGCCTAATGTAAACGTTATTTAATTGCCTTTTCACATTGACGATACAAGTGATTGACTAAAAAATAAGGGTTGAATTTGTGCTTGAATCAATCTCAAATTTTTTTAAGGGATTAGTGTTTGTTTTTCTAAAATATATAAAATTGTTTCATTTTAATTAAAATTGTTATGTTTTATGGTAAAAAAATAATTACACAATAAAAATCATGGTGGGAGAAAGTGAAAGCTTTTTTTTAATTTAAATATTAAAAAATAGCAATTTTAAGTAAAATAATTATTCTTTACAAACATAAATATATTTTTTCTATAATTTAAAGGCCGGAATAAGTGATAGTTGAAATACACAGTTGTAAATAATTGAGCTATTACAACAATGATTATCTATTTAGAACGAAAATCTAGTAGACTTGTGTTATTAAAGTTCATGTACACCATGTATAAATTTTAATCAAACCCAAGGTAGGAGCCTAAACACAGACAAGAGTTACCACCAGACCAATCCTATTTGTTGGTCATATTACTCTTAATTATATATATATATATATATATATATATATATATATATATATATATATATATATTTAATCGATTGAACCAATGATCCACTAATTAAATCAATAATCCATTAACTCTGTACTCTGACCGAGTCAGTGACCAATCCGAAATTTAAAATTTTGCAACATGCAACTAATTACAAATAAAAAACATAGACGAATGTTGAAAAGATAGAATTTGCCTGGTGTAAGAACCCTCACCGTTAATTTAGAAATATAATAATTAATTATGAGATTAATGATATAATTTCATAATTGACCCTAATAATTATGACAAGGCTTAAATAATTATAGTTAGTGATTAATAATGTTGAAAGTCGCTTTTGTGATGAAAAGTGCAGATACCGGTTCTGCCTCACGGTATAAATGCGTACCGATGAAGTATCCCAAAAAATTATGAAAAGTGTGTATATATCACTAGAATAATATCTAGGACTAGTATAACAAGTTTGGAGTCAAAATAACGAGAATTGATGTCAGAACTGATACCGGCTATGTAAAAGCGTGTACCGACAAAGTGCTGCGAAAAATAAAATAAAAATATGAAAAATCCTAAAACAATGGCTAGGTTCAGAATCCAAAGTTTGGGATTAAAATGATAAGCGTAGCTATGAGTGCTAATACAGTGTGATTAAACTTAATGAGGGTATAAATAGACACTTGCATAGATTTTTAGGTCAGAAATCATAAACCTTGCGTGAGTTTTCTGAGCTTCTTGAGTCAGCCACCTTCCTCCACCTCCTCCCCTCCATTGAAGCTCCAAGAGAGCACCTTTTCTCTTACTTTCTTCACCAAAGTCTCTTGTATGAGTGTGCTCTAGCTTTGGGAGGTTGAAAGTCCAGTCATTTATGAATTGTGGGTTGTGTTTTGTGTGAGAGAGCTGCTGACTTTGAGGTTGTGTGGTGTGGGAGCCATTTCCATGCCATTTGAAGCTTCAAGGTGCCATTATGGTAGAGAAAGGACCAAGCTTTGGTCACCATTTCGTGGCTTGTGTAATCTGACTTCTTGGGACAGATTTGAGAGCTCCAAGAGCACCTTGTTCTGCTATGTTTGAGCCCCATAGGTATACCATGATCTTTCCTCTTGAAAATCCATGATTTTAGCTTGTTTAAGTCACTAAAAGAGGGAACTTTAATGATTCAAGTTAAAAGTGGTTAATCCATGTATAATAAGTATTGTTGAATATCTGTTTTGTGCCAAAATCGAACCTTGAATCATTGGGAGCCATTCCCACCTCGGATTATGCAGAATTTTTCTACAGAATTATGTTCTGCACGCGTGGGAATTGATTCATTTCTGTTGGAAATCGATTTCCAAGTGCAGGAATCGATTCCCTCTTGTTGAGGAATCGATTCCCTCTTGTTGAGGAATCGATTACTAAGAGCAGGAATCGATTCCCAAGGTTGAAAATTGATTCCTACCTGTCAGAATGACCAGAAACCAGTTTTAGATGCGTGGGAAAGACCCCATGTGGGCATGAGGCCCTAAGTAGTCTGTGTTACTGTTGGAAAACAGTAATACCTTTAATTGTGGGGCTTAATGGTTGATAATTATGAACTAGAAAATATGTAAGCAAAAAAGGAAATGTTGTCATAATGAAATGAACCTTTAGAGTATGGATATTGATGATGTTTCTGATATAAACAGACTGTGATTGTGCTGTTTGGTGACCTTGGGCCAGTGTGGACTCTTGGTTTGGACGGATAGCTTGATAGGTAAGCTTTCGTGTCCTCGGTTTTGCCATTGTTGGTTCCACCATACCTCATGGAGGGATAGTTTTTGTGCATGATGTGTTTTCATGTATTGATATTTGAAATGCTATTAAGCTGTTAAGTGCAAGTGCCTTATAATATGTATGTGTTGTTCCACCTAGACGGTAAGTCTGAGTATGTAGCGTTATACAATATGGTGATTCTGTGGGTGGGTGCAAGTAGCGTCTTGCACTGATTGTAGGTTATAGACGTATGTAATTCCCGCATGGCCAGTAGGATTTTGACACACATGACATGATTATATGCTGCGTTGCACTGATTTCGGAACTTATACTGTTTTATTGCTTTTGAACTTATATTGCACATGTAAGTGAGCTTGGGGTAGAGAGATCCTTGAGGACCCCTTGTCTTACTAAGATTTCTGTTTAGAGATCTCACCCCACGTTTGGAGCACATTTTCAGGTTCAGGTACCTCGAGGTATGATACTTCTAGCGGCAGGAGGCCGGAGTTGAGTTGATATGCATGCTGCTTGTTGTTACGTCTGGATACTGATTATGTTTATCTTCAGTATACTGTTATATGATTTGAGACTCTGTTGGGCTTTGTTGCCTTATTTGGTGAGCATGGGGATTGTCCATGCCACATTGATGTTATTTATGCTTTAGCTTTAAGTTATATAAATTATCAGGATATTGTTCGGTCTACGTGTTGTAGCTTCGTGACTAGAAACCCAGTTATTTATGTAGTGAGTTTATTCAGTGTAGTTAGCTGTTTATTTGCAATTTACGTACATGCAATGTTTTATGAAAAAAAAAGGATTAGTTAATCAACTTGGTAAATAATAATAACGTCATAATTAAAAAAAAAAGTTAGTTCCGCATTTTAATTAAGCAGCGCTTAATACGTTGATATGATAACAAATCGGGTATACACGGGGTATTACACCTGGCATACAAATAGTGTTT